GGTAGATCAAGGCGCACAAAGGGCCTGTAGATTTACACAGCACAGCTGATCCCTTTACCCCTTCGCTATTTGACATAACGACCCAAAACCCAACACATGCATACTGCTGGAGTCATTGATCCAATAAATTTATTGGCCAATTGTTAGCACTGATAAGATAGTCTCTGTGACAATAGGTTAGATTTGTTTTGCCCTGGGTTCACATTAGGCATTGATTTCAGTTAGAAAATAAGGAATGGAGATCAGCACTCACAAATTATAAATCAGTAGGTGAAATGTTTTATTTGATGGTAAAAATCCCAGTTAAAGACTTGCCCTCAATCAGAAAAAGCTTGGATTACCCATCCAGCTTCAGTTAGAATTATTTCTGTCAATTTTCACAACTTCTTCTTTCACATCTGAATGGTAGTTTCATCTGTGTATATTTTGAAAATAAAAATAGCATTTTTGTATTATCAACATAATGGAAATAGCAGTAAACATGTTCAGCTTTAACTGTATCAAAGACAGGGATCCTTTTTTCATGAGTTATTAGATAATACATGTTCCATGTTTGAAAATGTGGCACTTGGAGAGAGTACTATAAACCTCACTCCCAGACTGTTATGACCTTACTGATTACACTATGTGTGCCATAAAAAAAATATGTTGTAGTTTAGTAAAGACTTATTGGATATAAATATTTTTTGCAGATAAACAAGATCTCTATCCTGTTTTGCATCTTGGCTGAATGAGGTGGAGTCCCATTTGTTTAACAAAAGTGAGTACTTAATCATATCTGCAGAAAAGTTTTCTTCACACCATTTCTCTGTTGTTCAAATGAAATTATGCCTTCAAATATGATCCTCCATCGATGAATAGAGAATAGATGAATAAATAGCTAGACAGTAGATTGCTCAACTTCTATGAGAGTATATAAACAATTACTTTACAATAATCAGAAATGGTGGTTAAGATAAAAAAATATATATTTATTGTCACTTATCAACTTTCACACAGATAAACAATGTAAACTAGACAGGCTGCATGACTACAAAGTTAAGAAAAAATGTTTTTTATCATCTGGGATATAGAAATACAAAGTGCTTTCCTTACAAAAACAATTCTATAACTTTAGTCAAAAGTTGGAGCCTCATTCCTATTTCCTTCTTTTATTACAAATAAAACAACTTACTACAGCATCAGAAAGTAAAACTGTATTGTTTTTTGGTTACTCTCTCTATAGCTTTACTCCAGGTGACCTTATGAAAAAAAAATCACATAGTTTTGACTAACAGACCTGTTTTTTTGTTTTGTTTTAAAATGAAGATCATTAGAGATCCATGTGGGAAAAGATCTCTTGTCTTGTCACTACTACACACCACTCAGCTATCTGGTTTCTTATATTTAAGTTCACATCACCGTTCTGATGCAGATTATCTGAATTTAAATGAAAAGTTTTTGTTTGCAAAATAAGAGGAATGGAGACTGGATTAAGAAAATAGTTCTGTCTGAAATTGATGAACTCAGCATGCAGAGTATTTTAAAAAATCTATGCCAAAAATATGGTGCAGGGAGAAAGTTTAAATCATTTACTTTATTGAGAGTTAATTTCTTCTAAATTATTGTTTTCTGTTTAAGTTATGCCTCTGGCCAATTGACTGCTGGAGATAGGCACCAGCACCCCTTGCGACCCCACTTGGGACAAGCGTGTCAGATAATGGTTTAGATGGATGTATGGATGTTTAAGTTATGTCTTTATTTCTGTTTACATCTGTGACATCCTGCACCCCACTCCACGCGGGGCTGCCAAAGCTTCCTGTTATATTTCTGGAGACATCTGGTGTTGAAATATTGACTCGTAAGTTAGTTAGACGGGCAGTCCAACTGTGTTTGTTACCAAGAGATTTTACGGAACAAAGGGAATCCCATGCCATGGAGCGTCCCTGAAGCAATCCAGTGAAACGTCCATCGCTGGACGCCTCTCTAAATTCCGCAGCTATTTTTCACGTTTGATGCTTCAATTCCACATAAATCTGGAGTAGAGAGGGTCCTTCAGGCACGTAGTCCGTTGCTAAAAGGCAAAGTGGTGTTTCAAAGTTAAATACTACATGTGCAGATTGTGGAATGTGGATTGCATTTTACGCTGAAACCAGCGTTGGGTGGGTGGAGATAATTTGGGATGGTGAGGAGTCGGACTGGTGGTTTTTGAGTTATTAAAACACATGTCCACCAATCATTCATCATTACTAGTTCATAGCAAAGCCTCCCTGAATCCCTAATGTTTAGTGTTCTCTTGTGTTTACACTAGAGAACTAGTGTAGTGGCACCACAAATTATGCTAGTTTTAGCAGCAGGGGGATCTGGTGTGATAAACCTGGCGCTGATGATCAATGCGTTCTGGTTGGAGGAGGAATTTTTTAAAGATAGTTGAGAAAACCACTGCTTTTGGGATTTAGCGCTTGGTCCAATTAACACCTCACGCTCCATATATCAAATCGCCAGTCTAAACAGCTTTTTCACACACATTCCGTCCTCCTCGACAGTTATTGGGGAGATTTTATTCAACCATCTACTGTTCACAAATCACAATGGATTATATTATAGTTCACTAGAGTAAAAGCCTTCAGATGTTCAATGTTTCAGCCAACAATCTAATAAGCATTAAAGGTAAGGATTCAAAATCAACCATAATAAATATAATTAATTCAGTTAGGTAAAAATAAGCTTAGCATATTTGTGTGAACGCACTGATTATAGTTTGTCTTCTACATATAAAAAAGAGGAGTAGTCTACATGTTTATGAATCCATCTGCAAACATGTTAGTACCGTTTACGTGATGTGTCACATGACACTCACTGGATCTGACATCGCTGTGGTGGCTGGGTCAGAGTTGTTTATGGAAAACAACTCAGGGCAGATTTTTTTTTATTGTAGCATTTTGTTCTGACATTTAGTGTTGAATAAAGTTGCACTGAAGTGTGTTAATGTTCACACAGTAATTATTACAATTTATTAATTGGGCAGGTTTTTACGCAATGTGGCAGTTTTTAACAGATGTTTGGACTGGAAAACCTCTATCTGGCAACACTGTCTGAAACATCAGAACCATATTACCTGCGATTCCAGCACATAGCTACTGAACACTCTCTCTTTATAGAGACACGTTCTGAGAGGTCTGCAAGTACCCGGTTGGATCCCCACAGCCTCTACTTTGGGTTCCTGAGCAAAACCTTATGCTCTCCGGGCGCAACACAATGGCAGCCCACTGCTCCCCAAGGAGATGGATTAAATGCACAGGTACATTTCTCCAATGTGAGATCAATAAAATGTTCAATTATTAGAAAAACACACAATTTTATGACAAAACTCATCTATTTTATAAAGATAACACCAGAAAGGAAAAGGCACAGGCTGAAAAGTAACGTCACCAGATAAAGAGCAGGCATGCAAGTGACTGCTGTACTGTCTAAATAACCACGTAATTATGCAATTTAAAGTGTACAGTATGCTACTATCAAGCGATGATTATATCCTCATGATCCAAGTCCAACTGCTCAAAGGTGCTCTGCACTGAATACTCCTAGTGGAATAGGGTACTGGGCAGAAACCGCGGCACGTACACCTGTGGTTCATGCATTGAGTGAAACCCTGGGGTTAGAAGTAGGGAGACCTTGTGGTTTCCTGGCCTTGTTTTGGAAACTTAGGGGTTGGTGTGTGTACGCGCTTTCAGTGTAACGTTAATAATCTAGCTGACCTGATCCTGTATCTGTGATGTTTTAGTATGTAATTTGTTCTGTTGTGCCTTGTGTACAGTCACTGTGTTTTGTGTAAAAGCCTAACTGGGGACAGGCATTGAGAATAAGCCTTAGCTAAAATGTTGTAGTGTGTGACATGATTCATGAAACTATCGCTATCAAATAAATAAATAAAAAGCAGCAGATAAGACGTGTAGGTTGCCCTGACTGAGTCAGGATAAATACTGAGGATCTACCTTATTCTTTGGTGCAACTCATATGCTTATGTAGTGGTCCTGGCCTAAGGTGAACTTTATTTTCTGTATTATGTGCTTATCATCCATTGTTTTATACTTTCCTTGAATAAATTCTGTTAATACTAAAAGATGCTTTTCCCTTTTTTTGCACAACTTATTGAACTCTCTATAATGAATAAAAAACTGTGTTCAAACAGCCAAAATGTTTACGAAGTTGATAAGGTTGCTCTGGTTTATGAGTTCCAACATGAATTTATCTAATAAGTGTTTAATCTCTATATAATCAGAAATAACTAACCTAAATAACTTAACAGTGAAAACCAATGTATCTCTATACTAATAGAAGAAAACTGAGAACAGTTTTTTTTTTAAACATTTCAATACCTGTGACAAAGCAAAACTAATGTTTCAAGCCAATGGAGAACCAACTTCTATTTTCTATAAATATCACAATTATCACTATCAAGTCATGTTTTGTAAGACAGATAGGCATTCTAAACTTTACATAAATATAAAGGGGCTTTTGGACCCGACTTGACGCGCACACTGCTGCGCTCTGAAATCCATTATTTTCAATGGCATGGGGCGTGAAAGGGCACAAAGAGTTGCACCAAGCATAGTGCAGCACCAAGAGAGGTCAAAGCACGGCAGGCTTAAAGTTCAAATATGCTGAAATTAGAGTGTCATGCAGGCGTGCAGTCAACAAAAAGCAATAAGCACAGCACACACTGCGTCCAGTCTAAAAGCCCCAAGATGGGGGGGCGGTTAAACTTTATTTCCCGCTGATGTTTTATGTATGTAGGTCCATTCATCCTTTTTGTTCAAGTAACTAAGAAAAAGAAAAAGGAGAAATAACTAGGAAAAGTCATTTACCTGCAGCCTCCATAGTATTGTAGTTATTGTGTTTTTATTGGCGAGGCACCAGAGCATGTTATTCCTTTAGCTCACCACTAGATGGAAGTAACCCTTCAAAACTGAGGCTTTAAAGTGCACATTTATTATTAATCAAAGACATCAGGCCTTTACCTTAAATTTTTGTTTGCGGTTATTCAGCTGTATGTACAAGCGATGAGGTCCATTCCAGTTCCCATAGACAATGTCAGTCCTGCCATCACGGTTGAAGTCTGCCAACGCCACCCCTCTGCCATGCTGCATAGGGTCCTCCACTCCTAAAAATATATACACAATGGTTCTCTTACACTAAATAATAGATATGTAATGTTTCTTTAAATTTACACTATACATTATCCTTACCAGCCTGCTGTGCAACATCAGTAAAAGTCCCGTCACCATTATTCCTAAACAGGAAGTTGGATCCATACTCATTGTCACAGAAGATATCCGATAGAGTTTGACTAACAATTGGCCCAACAACGACACCTCTTCCCCCTGTGCAGATGGATAAAGTAAGAGAAGATTGCTCTGTAAGATAAAATGAGGCAGCTACCTAAATGGTGAGATGTTTTTATTAAAAAAATAAAAGCATGGAGCTGTAAAGGTGAAATTGTGTATCAAGGAAACAGAGAGAGATTAGAACCATGACAAAAGGAAATTAAAAGAGATCATTAGAGTGTTTTTGGTCTATTTGCTTAGATCAGTGTAGGTCTTTTTTGCTGACACAGACTAACTCTGATGGCCACAAACGCAGGTAAACAATTACAAAGGGAAGCGCAACTGAACAGTGATACCTCACATACTGAGATGTTTTGCATTAAACAAATCATAGCAGTACTTTAATCACTAGGAAGAAAAAAAATCACAGTGCACAATGAATATCACCCCATGATTTTCCAGTGACTTCCTATAGAGTGAAGCATATCGCTACAGTTTTTCATCTCAGACCAGCAGAGTTTAATTATGTAGCTGACGGGGCTTTGATTGCCCTTTCTCTGTGCAGTCAGTGCTGTGAGCCAGGCCCTGCTTCTGATTTACTGGCCCGCTTCATCAGCCCAGACAAATATCACTTGCCCCCAACAGCAATAAACCACAAAATGCCTCTCCAGAGATATGTAACCATCAGATATACAACTTCTCAGGCTGTCCATCTGCTCTGATTAAGAGCAGTTTGATGACAAAGCCATCCAGTGGACATCACTCACTGTACCTCTGAACCAGCTCCCTCTTCCCCCCTGGGTGGATCAAATGATGTCCTTCATGTAAAAAAAAAGGAATCTGAGATGATGAAGATTCATTATGTCGCTCTCAAACCCAAAGTCATTGTCCATTTTGAGAACTTACTGTACCACTGACACCAAGGACTTCTTGGTGGTTACAATAAAGTTTCATTAATGCATGATCTTGGTCTTCGTTATACGGAAACAAATCATAGTTAGGTTCAGCTCTCTGGCATTTACTGCTCCGCTTTTCCGTACATCACTGGTTCAACACTGAATGGAGAGGCTAAGTTAAGGGAATAGTGACTTTTAGGACTCTAAAGCTGGAGACAATGCAACTAATATAGGCTGAAACCTGTTTGTTAAGTTTTAAACAATATGCATTTAGGGGTTAGGGAGGACATTATGACACAGTAACCTTGTATGAGCTATGGCAGGGGTAACCAATTAAACATCAGCAAGGTCGGAATAAAGAAAATCATTAAAGTAAAGGTCCATAGACATTTTTAATTATTATCTTTTACTTTAAACAGAATTTAACACTGAAATAAAATGAGTTTTTTTATGAAACCATGCTATACATTTAATTTTTAAATAAAAAAAATAGAAAAAAAAAAAAAAAAAGGTTCCAATTTAAAAACCAAAAGGGTTTTTTTTTTAAGTAGAGAACAGCAACCATTCAGTTTGGTATATAGACAATTTCCTGATTCACATATTTTATAAAACACCTGAACTGACTGTTTGTTATTTTTGTTTTTTCTTTTTTTATGGCTTAATAAAAGAAGTGGGCTTTACGTTGATTTTTAAACCTGGGGTTGAATGGCGACAAAGCCATTCTAAAGCGCATGTTTTGCAAGATGCTCATTCGTGAGCCTGTTGTCGTCGAACAATATGCGGTAATTTATTAATGTTTTAAATCAGGTTGGGTCCAGATTAGCCAGCAGGTGGGTCTGGATCCGGACAGCGGTGCGCTAATCCTTGACCTCTGAGCTATGAGAACAGAACCTTTTAAACAGAGTGTACATGAGGAGAAATGGGCTTTTTTGCATGCTCTTGCATGCATTTAATAGGCGTTCCCTCTTGGGAAAGCAGGGTTGTGCATGTGCATTTTTTTTTTTTTTACTGGAGAGGGCCAGTCTTTTAAAAAATTCACAAAAATCCTCCACAATACCTTTAAGTGTGACTGTATGTGAATTTGTGTTCTTGTTTTACTTAAAATGTGGACAAAGTATTTTGTATAATACATATGAGCATTCAACTGGTTTCCACATGGTAAAGTATGGCTTTGTGTTTCACTGCTACAGACTGGCAAGGGTATACCCCGCCTCTCGCCCAAAGACTGCCTTAGATAGACACGGGCCCCACCGTGACCCTGACGGAATAACCAGGAGAAGATGGATGGATGGATGGATGGATGGATGGATGGATGGATGGATGCATTGAAGCAAATTCAACACCCAAGCTTTTGATTTATATCTTTTTGCAAAGACGTGCCTTCTAATTACTTGTTGGCATTAGGACTTGTTTAACCCAAAATGCTAATCTGCGGAACTATTTATTTATTTATTTATTTATTTTTTTTACAGTGTCCTGTCTGGCAATGTGGCAATAGGAATAATAGTCTTGCTGCCAAAAAGCGAGCCCAACAATCTGTGGCACATTTAGTGGCAAGATAAATCTGTCCTTGTTTTTTACAGTACCATTTCTAGGATCTATTTTTCTCTAAAGATAACTAAATATAAACATTTTTTAGGTAATTATTTTTCTGATTAGCCATTTTCTGAGTTTTGCAAATTAAGACACATCTTGAACAGCTGCTTCTATTTTGAATAGTGACAAAGAAAAATAGGTTTCTTTGTCACGTAAACAAGCAACAGGAAGAAGGAATTCATATTTTATTATTAATAATATATTTGTTCTGTTTATTGTATAAATATTGAATGTAGACAACTATTTAAAATAACTTAAACTAATTTTACAGAAATAATTAGAGATCTTATTTACTGTTGCACTACTAGCTGCCTCTGGGATTTTGTGTAGCTACATCTCTAACCTGCTGTATTTTTACAATAGTTCAAGGTGACACTATAGTTGTCCTTTACAACAAATAACAGATACTATCAAGGTTACATTGGTGTGGTCTAAGGTATATTTTCTATACCTATGCGGGGCCTGTTCCACCAACTTTTCTGTAAAGATATAGAGGTACTTTAAGATATTTCGCTTAAACAAAAACAACCTCCTGTTTTTGTTTTTAAATTTTAGAATCTATGGTTTCAAATTTCTCATGCTTTTCGGCATAATGCAGTAAGGTCAGATGGCACAAACATATACATTTCACAATTTAGATAAGTGCTTGATACCCACCAATAAGTTTGTTAACTCCAGCTTGTTCTGCAACATTGGAGAGGGCAACAACTCCCTGTGAAAGGTCACTGGCTGCCTCGTCCATCTCTATCAGAGCGTGAGGGCCTACATTTCCACTGGCATAGTTGGCAATGTAGATGGCATAGCGCCCTGTACCCTGCAGAAAAACAACAATATCCTTCATTGAATTACACAGACACACAAGTTCGGACATATACAAACCAGTTTGGTCATTTGACCTTTCTGGGAATTTTAGTAGTAGAATTTATTGCCCCAGTGTGCCTCTAACCGAGAAGAACCAGATTCTTGGATCGAAAAAAAAATCCTATGAAAAGCAAAGTGCTAGAAAATCAAAAGGTTGACTATAAAATTTATTTTGTATTTCAACCTGTTATGTAACACATACATTTTCTGTTTGCCCTGTTTTGTTTCTTTAAATCAATATTGCTGTTAGACTTGCTGCAAACTCTACTTCAGTGAAAAAATGCTGTTAGAGAATTCAGACCAAGAACAAATTTTAAAATAGCCTACACCTCAATAGGAGACCAGTTTCCAATTCTTTGGCAACTGCAGTCTTAGTTTTTTAAAACTGGATGCATTTAAACATGAAAAAAAATGTAAAATTCCTCTTACATGTGCAGCGCTGTAGGGTTGAGTTAAGGGTTGTATTTAACAAGTGTTTGTTTTTCCCAAAGAAGGCAAACCCCTCAGAAACTGCAGCTTTCAGTTTTGGTAGCAAGGCTCAACAGATGCAGATTTTCTTCTATGATATGGTGTTCTGGGTGACATACTGAATAATGTTTGTTGCTGCAATATTAACTGTTTCTACCATCCCTGTGGCCATTATTTACAGTTGATGTTACAGTCTTTAACTTTGCCTTCTTTATTTGTGTTTCTATTCATAGAAAGTAAACAAACAAACAAAAAAAAACACTGAAAATCTAGGCCTTGTTTTTTTGAGTGTCATTTTAGACACTAAATGTCCTGCTGGTTGAGAAGGAAAGTTGCTCCCACCGGAGATTTATTCATCTCCACAGGGAGTTGTTCCTCTCCAGTAGTGCCGCATGCATTCTCAGATTCAGAAATCTCCGCAAAGTCATCAACTCAAAGCTCAATGGTACGGAGAAACCTTTGCTTTACGATTTGGCATGTTATGATCAGAGAAAAATGCATTTGATGTTTGGTACATCACATTATTTTAGACAAAAGGCCGAATGACTGACTAAAAAAAAAGAAAATAAGTGAAATGGTTTTTGATTTATAAAACTATATTTTTTGCTCTTTCTCTGTTTAACTGTAACTATTCATCACCTTTCCTCATCAACCAGTCTCTCTTCTCCCTTTAACTTCATTCACCCTGCTTTTTACCTCTTGTCCCTTCTTACTCAGCTTGGCACTTCTTGCTCTGCCTCCCTTTGGAGATTAATTTCACACTCCATTATCAGTCAGAGTCCCTGCAGACACAAACTCACAGACGGAACCACGCTAATAGACTATACACTCGATTTAAATGAGCTTTCCCACCAGGCCTAACGTGTTTCCATCAATACGAACGCATGCATGTATGCAAGACCACACAAATAAGAGCCATCTGACCATTTTCCTCACCCTAGTGTACTTATACATATAGTGGAAGGTAAACAAGTCGGGATTGAGGCAAATGCCACGTTACAGAGTACTTTACACACTTTCAGAAAGATACACACACAACAAAAAAAAACGTAATTGTAATTAAAGACCTGAAAGCCGCTGGCTGTTACTTAACAAAGTTAAAAGTCAATGATTTTTCAATAGGGTTTCACCCAAGGCTAATTTCTGTCACTGAGCCTGGCAGTCAAGATAGTATAACACAAATTAATTTAATCTGCATGAATCCTTTGTGTTTATCAGGGGCGTTGCTAGGCACAAAGCTTTACTGGGGCACTGGCCCCCTACCGCATATGCCCCTTCTTCCATACACAAATACAGACGAGCACACTGCCCCACCCTGATACATTCCTACCAAAATTACTAGTTGAGATATTAATGAGTGTAACAAACATGAACATTTTCAACATTGCAGCTATAAAAAATAAGACATCACCAACTTTGACAAATAAAAAGTTTCCTTATACACATTCTGAAGTAATCATTAATTCCTAGGTTTCAGAGTTTTAGTTCAGGGGAAAGTTTAACTCAACACGAACTAAGTTTTTCTTTTATTTTTTGAGCATTAAAGTGTACCTCCTATTTTTCATTTTTTCAAAGCGGTCAATCACTTGACTGTGACTCAGCTTAGAAAGTTCTTCCTTTTCAACTGAGAACATAGCAGGATGATGGAGCCTGTCTTGTCCCATTGTGCACCTCAGCCAAGTGTGGATCCTTCTCAACACACTGAATGACCTTTCACAACTCCAGCTGTTGACTAGGATTGTGAGGGAGATCTGAATGACCTGCGTTAGTGTGGGGAACATGATGTTATCAAGCAAGTTGAAAACACACTGCATATCCTTGATGATAAGGCTTTCTTTTTCAACCAGGAAAAGTTTTCAAACCATTTTGAATTAAATGAACGTTTTTTTTACTCCAAATTTGTGCTGGGGATAGTGGGACAACTTCACTTGTTAAGGACCATCATGTTTTCCCCCTTAGTCACTAATGTCCCCTTCTTGTTTATAAACGCTGGTTGTTGCATCCTCATCACCTTCATGGTCCTGTCTCTCCTGTCTCTCACCTGTCTCTTGCCTGTCAGTCTCGCCTCCTCCTCCCTTTCCTTTCCTACTCCAGCACCTTCATTCTCATTCTCTACAGCAAACATTAAAAAACATAAATTTATA